TGAATCTGTTTGGGGTCCCACAGTAGATTGGAAAACAAGGCCCCATCTTAGATCCCTGCAGAATTCTGACAATTACACATTTCAGAAAACAGGCTCTTTCACTCAAACAGTTTGAACTAGCACATACAGTCATGCATGTACAGTTCTCCCAAGCTAGATATGGTCAAAGAGGCTTTTGAGATGCTTGCAACAAATTTTCAGAGTTCTTCTTTCCATTAGTTTTAATAGCTTGAGTAGATAAATTTTATTAGTTGCTTTCATCTCTGTCATCATATATATTTCTATGATAAGCTTGTCTATTGCTGAGCTGTTAATACTAATTACAGTGGTCATGTTCTTTATGAAAACTATCACTTTGTAAGCACAACTGTGAAAGCTTAATCACTCACACCCAAATTTCAAGCTAATGCACACAGAAATGGCTTAAGCAGAATGGACAGCTTGCATTTAGTGTATTAACTGAATGGGCTTGTTGACATTTCAGTTCAGTCCTGAGGGATACGCTTCCCATCTCAGGGAACCCCAATTCAGTCACCTTTACAACTTTGCTACAGGAACCCTTCTTTTCCCCCTAGATTTTAAACAGTGTGCGCTCACTCTTTGTGACAGTTCCCGTACTCCTTCTCTTGCAATCTTTTTAAATATATATTGCCACTCTAAACCCTTGCTGAAACAATCATTAAATTTTCTATTACTACAGTGAATAGCCCATTATAAAGTTGGTAGGAGCTTTGATTTCTTCATGCACCTACTTTTTTTTTTATCAAAAGGTAGAAAAAGTGGTATATCTTAGAAACATTTGACCAAAGACAATTGGAGAGCCTGGTGTACATTAAAATAAAGCAGCTATGCATATCGGGCTGGCAGCTTGCATGTTATGCCTAGAAAGATTCGTTGCCACTGCTGTTGTTGCCAGACCACAGATGAGCAGAGCAGGGCAGACTTTCAAGAGAGCAGGGGTTCTTCTCTGGATGGGATTGAAATCCAAAGCAGAGGTGGGTCATATGCTCACCATGATTGAAGGCAGGCCGGTATTGCCTTCACCCAGTTGCCAGTTAGGAGATTCATATAATGATGATAAATACAGTGGTGCCCCGCAAGACGAATGCCTCGCAAGACGAAAAACCCGCTAGACGAAAGGGTTTTCCGTTTTTCGATGCGCTTCGAAAGACGATTTTCCCTATGGGCTTGCTTCGCAAGACGTTTCCGTCTTGCGAGTCTTGCGATTTTTTTCGCTCCCTCCCTTTTTCTAAGCCGCTAATAGCCTTTTAGCCGCTAAGCCGCTAAGCCTTTAATAGCCGCTAAGCCGCTAATAGCCTTTTAGCTGCTAAGCCGCTAAGCCTTTAATAGCCGCTAAGCCGCTAAACCGCTAATAGCGCTAAGCCGCTAATAGAGTTGCTTCGCAAGACGAAAAAACCGCTAGACGAAGAGACTCGCAGAACGGATTATTTTCGTCTTGCAAGGCACCACTGTAATAAAAGCATAAATATAATGTTGAATAGATAACTATCATGCTTACGTGATTTACTAATGTAATTAGCCATCCAGAGAGTCGATTATAAGAGTAAGAGAGACTGATTATAAAGGCCATGACATTATTAGAATGGAAATATTGTCGTCAGTGGACACTCTAAATTGCAGCTAACGCTCCAAAATCTTTCTAGAGGCACCAGTCAAAACTCACCATCTCTACATTCTTTTCACTGATCTGTATTTCCTCTCTATGTTCATACAACCCACACTCACTTAGGACCGTTCTTTACAGGGGAATCCCTACGTTCATTGCTGCAGACTGAATCTGCTTAGACTTGTTTTTAACCATCCTCGGTGTATATCTGTTTGAGGTTCCTTGGGCCCACTTCACATATCTTCTCAACTCTGGAGAGCGTTAATACCAGTTTCCCTTACAGAGCCATTATCCCACATTAAGATTTTTTCTTTGCCCTGTAAATATGTTTAAACAGCACTTCTAGAAAAGACTTTGTATCCAACGTTTGGTAAACCACTAAGGCAGGGTTGGGGAACCTGTGGCCCTTCAGAAGTCGCTTCTATCATCCCTGAGCATGGAGCCCTGTTGTCTGGGGTTGATGAGAGCTGAAGTCCAACAACAAACGGCGGGCCACAGGCTTCCCACCCCTCCACCATTGGAAGGAAAATCTACAACTGGGGAAGCCACTGAGAAGCCTTCTTAGTATCTTTAGCTGTGAAACTGGCACACTGGTAATCAAGAAAATCCTCCAGGTTGAACTTAAAGACCAATGTAGCATATTAAGGAGAAGGTCTTCTGTGTTCCTTTACTATCTGGGGCTTAATAAGTAAAACAACAGCAACACCTATTCTTGTGCCCTGGCTATCATAAGAAACCAGTGGAGAGTCTGACAAAATTGGTGTAATCTCCCCTTCATTTCTTGGTTTGTCAGGAGTTGACCACTGTGTGTTTTGTAGCCAAGGAAGTTTCCAGAAAGTCCTTATCAATAAGACTTCAACATAGAATGCATGAGCCATTTTGCTTTGAATAATGGAGAAATGGCTGGTGGTTATTAGGCACAGTCAAAACAGAGAAGATGGCAGTCTTCTTGCAAAATGAAAATAAGCATCACTTCCTCAACCTGGGCATCCAAAGGTGAGAGACCAGGGAAAGCTGCTGTGTGCATTCCTATCCTCCTTGCATTTTCAGCCACAGGGTCTTACTACATCATTACCTTAGATATTTTTTTTATGTTGCATCATCTGTACCAATTTCCTCACCCTGGCCAAACACTGGGTCACTACCAATAGCAAGTTCTGCATGGCCCTGCAGTGAAAAAGCAGTTCTGAGATCACTTGTTTCTGCAGTAGGATTCTGGCAGCTGGAGGGAACATCAGAGGAAGTCTACAGCCATGGGGTGCATCATGCAGTGCCAAATTAAACACTCAGCCTGAAATCCACACCTCATTTACTGGGAAGATATCCTGTTCATGTTGAAAGGACGGGATACAGGGTTGTGAACTGAAACATAATGCAAAATGTTTGTCTAGTGCCTCAAATGATATATTTTATCATATCAATGGCAGAAATGCTCATTCTCCCTCTCAGAATCAGCAGGAGAAACACTTGTTATATTTACAGCAGTAGTTACCTGTGTGAGAGTGTGTGTGTGTGTGTGTGTGTGTGTGTGTGTGTCAGTTCCGGTCCTCAGTACACACACACACACACACACACACACACACACACACATTTCCTTGCTAATCAACATGCTGGTAGTTCAGCCCCACTGGAATGACAAACCCTAGGTAGCTCTCTTGCAAAGTAACATGTCAACCTTCCCATCTATTTCAAAGCCCCACTGTAGCAGAGCAGCTTGTAGAAATGAGCTTAGCAATCATCTGCAGAAAAGAGTTCTAATCTTATCAAGATGGGAATTGATTTTCTTCATCTTGATATAAGGAGCTTCACAGCATGCACATGCAATAGTATCAGTGGGATGGAAAGTACAGCTGTTCAGGCAAGATTATTAGGCTGGGAAACCTGTGGCTGCGTCCATATACAAGGCAATGTTGTCGTTGGCATCTAGGATCCTTATTGCCCAAATAAGTCATGCACTCATTTTAGCCTTGCTTGAATCTACCACCAGAGGGAGCTGAGTTTACAACACTTAACACACACAAAGAGAAAGAATGCTCGCTGATTACAAAAGCTTTAAGAGCCATTAACAAATGCTTTTTTTCTGTAAAAGCTGTTCTCCGGCAGTTTGAATAAAGCTAGGGGTGGCATTTTTCCCATCGAGATTGAGATCATTTTCTGGCAACACTTGTATATCATCCTGAAGCACTTAAATGTAAATAATTTCGCTCCTCTCCTGTTTCATTGCCCTCTTGCAAGTGTGAGTCTTCGCTTTGTATTAGAAGAATGCAAAATAAAATGTGCCATTGTTATGGAAAACAATGGGTTAGTGACCATGGTCTTCCAATGTTTTAATTGGGAAAGGCATTCTCAATTCTACACCGATTGCCAACAAACTGAACATCTGTGCTATTATTGCCTTCTAATACTCAAATAATTTTTAAGGGTTTTTTTCGGGGGGTGGGGGTGGTATTGGCTTATATTTGCTTTTGATTTCCACATACGAAAGCTGCTATGCTAAGTGTTTATCTCATGCTGTATTTCTGCATTTAATAGCTGCATTCATTTACCAACAAGGCTAGGATTCTGCCTTCGGATTCTGACAGTTGAGAATCGTGCAAGGATAAGAGTAGAGAATACCCCGCCCATCTGGGAGACTCAGCCAGATGGGCGGGGTATAAATATTATTATTATTATTATTATTATTATTATTATTATTATTATTATTATTCCCCCCATCCACCACCTTTGTAGAGCTCAGTGCGTGCTACACTGAGAGCCAGTGTGGTGTAGTGGTTAAGAGCGGTGGACTCGTAATCTGGTGAACCGGGTTCGCGTCTCTGCTCCTCCACATGCAGCTGCTGGGTGACCTTGGGCCAGTCACACTTCTCTGAAGTCTCTCAGCTCCACTCACCTCACAGAGTGTTTGTTGTGGGGGAGGAAGGGAAAGGAGAATAATAGCCGCTTTGAGACTCCTCTGGGTAGTGATAAAATAGGATATCAAATCCAAACTCTTTTTCAAACTCTTCTACATAGACTTCTGGGTAGTGAGCAAATAGAAAAATATTTTATCTTAACAACATTAACCTTTTGAGCTCTCTGCAGTGATGGGAGAGTGTTGGTAAATATCGCAAGGCTTTTCTTTGGGATACATTTTTCATATCATCACCAGAATCTGCTTGTGCCATTCGAATCACGTGTTATATTGACATTTCTCTTGTGTATTGTTATGAGTGGGAGCTTGGAACACTCTTTGGTTCATAGAGGAGGAGCGTGTTTTGTGTTTGTGCTAACAGGATAGCAAGAAGACTCCCTTCGTGACTGAGCCATACTCATACTTAGTCTTTCTACCTCCCTGTTTAATAACCGGATATCTCTTTGTTTTGTTTTGATCCAGAGCCGAGATTGCCTGAAGCTGGGCCCACCTGCAGAGGGAGAAGTCGTTCAAGTGAAATGGCCAGATGGAAAACTTTATGGTGCAAAATATCTAGGAACCAATGTAGCTTACATGCATAATGTAAGTTGCATTTAGTGATCTGTAAATTGAAAACCTTCATTCGGTTGTCGGATTCCGGTTGTTAAGTCGTGGGTTGACATAGCAGCCGGCACAGCGATTTCTTCAAGTAGCTCTTTATTATGGTAAGCTGGAATAGAACTGACTGCGAACAGCTCAGCCGGCCTGTATTTATAGGCAGCCGGCTGTCAACATTGTAACCACAACAGCCCAGAGTTCCCGCCTAAAATAACTGCCGCGGACCTGAGTGAAAACTATCTACAGACCTGAGTGAAAACTATATACAGTATCCCCCTGTTGGCCCAGGGTGAAACTACACTACATAACACCCCTCCCCACCGAGATAAGGCGTTAGTTACAATCGTAATGGTTTCCTTATATACAGCACTACGCGTAATGGTTCCATTAAGCACAAAAGCATATCGGTTACATTTCCCATACTTAGACCAACAGTGATACCTGTCCAACAACATAGTCCTTTAAATAAGTTGGGCGCTTGGAAACTCTGCCAGACCGCCGGGGACTGGTAGCCAAGTCCGGAGGGCCACACAGTTCTCGCTGAGGCTGTGGTGCGACCCTAGGTGGCGTTGGAACCAACTCCCCTGGATCCGCTGCTGTGGGTGGAGCCTCCGCAAGTGGAGTGGTCTGAGTCTGTTCTGAAACGGCTTGGTTCGGCTCCACGCTGGCAGCTTGCGAGGGAGGTGTAGGTGGGGCCTCGCCATCTGCACGTGTCTCTTCTGGAGCCGCAAGCGCAGTTGGGGGCACCTCGGTAGTGTCCAAGTCCCCAACCATGCGCCTAAGCTGGTCTATGTGCCGTCGCCACAAGCGTCCGTCTTCGAGTGCCACCTGGTACAAGCGAGGTCCGGTGACTCCCACTACTGTGGCTGGCACCCAAGGGATGTCCCCCACATAGTTCCGGGCAAAGACCTGGTTTCCTGGGACAAATGACCGTGGTGCGTTGGCACAGCCTGGGGGTTCAGCCACGGCAAAGTCTGGGTGTAGCCGGTCGAGCGGTGACCTGAGGCGGCGGCCCATAAGCAGTTCAGCAGGACTCCTCCCTGTGGTCGCATGAGGGGTGATGTGTTGCACGAACAAGTATTCGGCGACCCGCTCATGCCAGTCTCCCCGGTCCAGGCGCGCCAGTGCCTCTTTTGTCGAGCGCACCATTCTTTCCGCTTGCCCGTTGCTGGATGGATGAAAGGGTGCCGTTAGGGCATGGCGGATGCCCAGTTCCAAAAGATACCGCTCAAACGTGCCTGACGTGAACTGCGGTCCGTTGTCAGAGACAAGGACATCAGGACACCCATGCGTTGCAAACAGGCCTCGCAGCACCCGGATGACAGCTTCGGTAGTGGTGGAGGGCATCAGGGCGACCTCCAGCCATTTGGAATAGGCGTCCACCACTACCATAAAGGTCCGGCCGTGAAAGGGGCCAGCCAGATCGATGTGAACCCTTGACCAGGGTGTCTTTGGCGTCTCCCAGGTGTGTCCCTTAGCTGCCGGTGGTGCAGGCCTCGACTCCTGGCACGCTTGACAGGCGGACACCCAGGCAGTGATGGCATCGTCCATATTAGGCCACCAGACGTAACACCGAGCCAACGCCTTCATTTTGACAATTCCCGGGTGGCCAACGTGCAGAGCCTCCAGGACGCGCTGACGGAGTCCCTGGGGAATCACGACGCGGTCTCCCCACAGCAGGCAGCCACGATGAGCTGAGAGTTCATGTTGTCTGGTTGCGAAGGGCTGGAACTCTGATGCAAAAGGCCCTTGTGGCCACCCCCTCCACACCCAGTTGAGCACCCGGCTGATGGTGCGATCCTGGGCAGATGCGGAGGCCACAGTGGCAGCCGATACAGGCGCTGCCGGAAGATCCTCAATCAGAAGGAGCGATGAAGCTGGAGCCGGGTCTTCCACAAATGCTGGAAGAGGGCAACAGCTGAGGGCGTCGGCATGGCCCATCGATTTCCCCGGGCGATGGATGAGCCGGTAGTGGTAGGCAGCCAGGAAAACAGTCCATCGCAGCATGCGTGGTGAGAGGACCGGTGGAGTTGGACGATCACCGGCGAGGAGGCCCAGGAGTGGCTTGTGGTCAGTGATGAGGTCAAAAGTCCTGCCATAGAGGTATTCATGGAACCTCTTCACTCCAGCCACAAGTGCCAATGCCTCCTTGTCGAGCTGGCTGTAATTCCGTTCCGTCGGAGATAGTGTCCTGGAAAAGTAGGCGAGCGGTGCTTCTCTTCCATCTGGAAAACGGTGACTAAGGACAGCACCGATGCCAAAAGGTGAGGCGTCGCAGGCAAGGACCAGCGGCCTGGATTCACTGTACTGTACCAGCACACTGTCTGAAGAAAGGAGAGCCTTGACCGCGTTGAAGGCCGCCGTCTCCCGATGACCCCAGGCCCAAGGCGTCTTAGTGCTAAGGAGTCGGTGAAGAGGCTCAGCCACTGTGGCTTTGTGGGGCAGGAACATGTTATAAAAGTTCAGCAGCCCCAGGAATGCCTGCAACTCCGTTTTGTTCTTTGGGGTGGGGGCCTGCTGGATAGCGCGGATCTTGGATGTGGTTGGATGAAGACCGGAGGCATCGATAAGATAGCCCAGGAACTCTACCTGTGGAACGGCGATCTGGCACTTCTCCCTCTTTACCTTGAGCCCGGCCTCCTGGAACCTGGTCAGCACGGCACGGAGGCGCTCGAACAGCTGCTGGTGTGAGTCTGCAGACACCAAGACGTCATCAAAATATGGTACCACGCCCGGAAGCCCTTGCAGGAGACGCTCCATAAGGCTTTGGAAGATGCCAGGAGCCACACTCACCCCGAACTGCAACCGGCGGCAACGGAATGCCCCCGGTGGGTGACGATCGTCTGGGCTTCAGCAGTGGCATCATCGACTGGCATTTGTTGATAGGCTTGGGCAAGGTCCAGCTTAGCGAAGACCTTACCCTCACCCAGGGAATGCAGCAGGTGTTGGACAACAGGAACCGGATAAGCGTGCTGCTGAAGTGCCTTGTTGATCGTGCACTTGTAGTCAGCGCAGATTCTCACCGACCCATCTGGCTTGACAGGCGTGACGATGGGGGTTTCCCACTTTGCGTGGTCAACCGGCTCCAAAACTCCTTGGGCGATCAGTTTGTCCAGTTGTTCGTCCACCTTAGCCTTGAGAGCAAAGGGAACCCGGCGTGGCTTTAGCTTGATGGGGGCGACTTGTGGATCAAGGCTAAAGGAGATGGGCGTACCTGTATATTGGCCCAAGGTGCCGTCAAAAACCTCGGCAAAGTCTTTGACCAGACCCTCAGTCTCTGCGTTAGAGATGCAGTTGATGCCGGTGACTTCCAGGCCGAGGGCATCAAACCAGTCTAGCCCTAGGAGGCTTGGCCGCTGACCTTCGACCACCACCAACCGGAGCAGGCCCGAAAAATCCTTGAAGGCGATCCGGAACCGGCCAACGCCTACCACGGGAATGTCGTTTCCCTGGTAGTCTCTCAGGTGTACGCGGTGAGAGTCGAGTTGCCTTTTGGACACTCTGGGTACCAGTCTTTTGATGGTGCTCCATGACACGATGGACAGGGCAGACCCGGTGTCGATCTCCATGTCACATGGAGCTCCTTCAATGAGCACCGTGACGTTCAGCTTGCGTCGCGTAGGCGAGTCGGTTTGGCCAATCGTGGTTCCAGACGGGCAGCGGCAGTTGGTGAGAGCGAAACAACTTTCCTTGGCAGACTGGAGTGAAGACTTGGACTTGCGAGTCGATGAAGGGGGGGTGTCAGACGGAGCCGATCGGCAGACCTTAGCGATGTGGCCCCTTCTGGAACACTTCCTACAGATGGCGTCTCTGAATCGACACTTGGCACGGGAATGGTTGCCTCCGCAGCCAGCACATTCCGGTTGGCCCTTGGACTTCTGTTGGAACTTCCTGCGCTCCCGCTTTGTCTGGTGCACGTCATCGTCTTCACTGGAGGATGCCTCCTCACTGCTGGCCTCTTCATGATGCACCGGAACTGGCTCCCTAGCAAGACGCGGGCTGCTGGACTTGCGGATCTCCTGGGCGGAGCGTTCAGCAGCTTCTGAGGCCACAGCCTCCTCAATGGCTTTCTGTAGCGTGAGGTCTGGCTTGGCTAGGAGGCGCCGTTGCAGATGGATGTCCCGGACCCCGCAGACGATTCGATCCATCAGGGCATCGTCTAAGTCTCGGAACTCACAGTGCATTGCAGCCTGTCGCAGGGCGGTGGTGTAGTTGTTGATTGACTCCCCCTCTGCCTGGTTCCGGTGGTAGAACGCATGGCGGGCAGCAATCTTGGACGGCTTTGGTGCGTAGTGGTTGCGGAGCTTCTCTTGGATCGTGTCCCATGGTGTTGCCTGGACTGCTTCAGGCGCAACCAACGCTCGGGCCGTCTCAAACACCTCAGGCCCACAGAGGCTGAGGAATAGGCCCCGCTTCCGATCCTTTGATACTGCTGTCAGCTCGTTGGCTTGGAGGTAGCAGTCGAACCGAGCGAGGTAGGAGTCCCACGATTCAGAGGCTGGCGCAAACGGCGGTAGAGGCACAAGTGAAGCCATGATTCCGATGCCGGCGTGAAGGGCGATGGATGGAACACAGTGCTCTAGCCAGAACAGTCAGCTCTGAATTGGTTCTGCCCAGTGATTTCGCTCAGTGATTTCGCTCTGTGATTCAGCTCAGTGATTCAGCTCAGTTCAGAGGCTGGCCGCATCTGGCTGTGCTCTGATGTCCATCCATCCCACCTTCGTCGCCAGTGTTAAGTCGTGGGTTGACATAGCAGCCGGCACAGCGATTTCTTCAAGTAGCTCTTTATTATGGTAAGCTGGAATAGAACTGACTGCGAACAGCTCAGCCGGCCTGTATTTATAGGCAGCCGGCTGTCAACATTGTAACCACAACAGCCCAGAGTTCCCGCCTAAAATAACTGCCGCGGACCTGAGTGAAAACTATCTACAGACCTGAGTGAAAACTATATACAGTATCCCCCTGTTGGCCCAGGGTGAAACTACACTACATAACACCAGTGCTCATTATATGGCCAGTATTATGTTGGTTGTGCTAGATGAAAACTTATTTAACAGGGATAGCCAACTGACAGTCTGCAAGATGTTTTGGCCCAGTACCTGTGGTTCAATAGGTGTCTCTCCAGATGAGGGTGTTCCCTAGCTTCACCTCTGCTTGGACAACTGGCAGCCTTGCTTACAGTGGTCGGAGGGTGGGAGGGATGACTTAGTCATACAGAAAATGTCTAAGGTCAGTAAGCCTGAATCACTTGTTTCAACCCAATTCTATGTTTGTAAAAGTGAACTCAGATCTCCAGTGAAACCTTGTCAGGATCATCGTTTAGTTACATCTCACAATAAGAGCACCTCGTTTCAAACTTCTAGGCCCGTGGGCCAGTTTAATGGCCATGTTCTTAAGATACCCTTCAACAGCTGTGGATTAATCAAGGCTCAGAAGAGCATCATGACATTTGAAACTTAAGCCGCCTATCCTCATCTTTTGTGGTGCCTGGCATCTTACAGCTGACCCCCAGGCCGAGTCATAACTGCAGCAGGTGGGGTGAATTCCTCACAGTGGTATTGGCAGCCTTGCAGTAGGCTGTGTCAAGAACTCCTGAATTGTGTACTTCAAATACCTTGTATTAGAAATGCTATGAAGCACTAGTATGAATACCTCAACAGATGGGAAATTAAAATAACTTGAAATGTTGGTGCAGAGTCATTTTAAGATACATAAAATTAGATGATGTAAGATGAACCATTGTTCTTGACAACTGTGGCCATTTAAAACAGTTACTCAGGGTAAGCACATGTGCCTTATTAGAAGTAGAATTATTTCCTGTTAGTCGGATTTAAGTGCCCTTTCCAAGGTCACATGAGAGCCCTAATTGCCCATTTCTTGGGACCATGTGTCCTATTTTCTAACAATAAGATCAGGCAAAAAAGAAGAGCTGGAAAAAGCAGAAAGATGATATGACAGGTGGCATTTTAAAACAAAGCAGTTTCAATTAAGAAACCATAACATTCTTGTAGGGTTGTGGAGACATTTCTGTATGGAGGACGAGAAAAGGAGAAATGAAAGAGTGGGGGAAATCTTTATGTTGCTTAGGACACCAAAGTTCCCATGCCAGAAAATACTTATGTCCTTCAGGCCTAATGCCATTTTCTTTGGCAGCAATAAAGAAAGTGCTGAACCCTTTCCCTGCCAGATGTGTTCTGTGTGAAGCTTGCCGTCAGCTGCTTTTACCCCACCAGTGTTCCAGGCCTGCTTTTGTGAGAGACGGCATGATCACCTCAAGAGGGATTTGTTCCTCACAGCAGTGCCGCACTTGAGTCTAAGCCTAGGCATCTCTCCTCATTCTGCTGTTCTGGAAAAAGCTGAGCCTCCTCATTCTAATGGTCAGTTCTTTTGGTGCTTTGAAATACTAATGGCTAATCAACAAAGGAGTTCCCCAGACTTCATCAACACTTGTTAATTGACTAGGATTAAAGACGTACACACTTAGACCGTTTACATAGGTTAATTAACTCTTCACGTGCTAATTGCTGATGTTCAGAAGTAGGTACACACATTTCGATGCACATGGATGTTGATTACATTCTCAAAGTCTAACACATAGTCTTTATACATGAAGACTAATTTAACACCACAAACCCCTTTCTAAAACACTCTGATACTGTCTTATAACACGTCCCAGAATAACATACAGGTTTAAATCTTAATATGTACTAAACCTAAACATTTAGCACCACAGATCTATTACACTACTTAGTGATTAACACCAACATACGAGTGGGTGGCACTGTGGTCTAAACCACAGAGCCTAGGGCTTGCCGATCAGAAGGTTGGCGGTTCGAATCCCCGCGATTGGGTGAGCTCCCATTGTTCGGTCCCTGCTCTTGCCCACCTAGCAGTTCAAAAGCACGTCAGAGTGCAAATAGATAAATAGGTACCCGCTCCGGCGGGAAGGTAAATGGTGTTTCCATGCACTGCTCTGGTCCGCCAGAAGTGGCTTAGTCATACTGGCCACATGACCTGGAAGCTGTCTGTGGACAAACGCCAGCTCCCTTGGCCTATAGAGCGAGACGTGCACACAACCCCAGAGTCGTCCATGACTGGATCTAACGGTCAGGGGTACCTTTACCTTTATGAGCAGGAAGTGGCGCCATACTAAATAACCCCTTCCCCTGGTGTCTGCACACAGAATGCAAAGGTCTGAAGGAAGGAGCCTTTGCACGTCTCGGCTTCCCTGAACAGTTGGGGTTCCAGATTGTACAGAACCGTGATTGCACAAAATCTCAACCTTTCAGACGTGTGCATTCTGTCAATGGCACTAGGGAGAAGAGCTGTTCGGCACAGTGTTGCTTCCTGCTCATTTTAATCATGCATAGAGCTTCGGTCTGAACCAGTTGAGTTTAGGCGGCACTTCCATGTCACTTTTTACAGACGCTGAAGTGTGATGGGAAATCAAAACATGGTCACTGTTTTAGTGTTGCAAATCTGTGAAGATCTGTAATAATAAAAAAGTCCAAGATTTTTTAAGTGGAAACCTGAGCCTTAAACATTGTCTTACGATTTTGCTTGTGTGTCCCTTTTTAATATGCATGTGTGAGCTTATGAAGATGACTAAATTACCCATGTACCTAATCAAATGCTTTCCAGCAATTCCAATTAAACTGCTAATTTATGATGTCCTGATGCAAGAAAAGCACATAGAGAGAACTAAGTAGCAAATGTTACTGACATATTATTGCAGTAGTGGTTTTTATTATTATGTGTGTCTGTCTCTTGGGGCTGATATAAATTAATATGGACAGTGATTGACAAACTGAGTGGTCTACATTATGCCAACTCAAGCCTAGTTCAGATTTGGACTCATTAGAGATGATCTATTGACACTCTCTGCCATAAACCCCTATTGAATAACTTAAAGGAGCCATTACTTGTCATTAGATCTCTACAATTTGGAAATATTTTCCCAGCACAGAATAGAATTTGGTTTCTAATTAACTGGTACAGCAGACACACGGCCGAATCTTCTGGAAGAGCTGAAACCGCATAGTATGGTAGTTTTATCCTGGACAACATTGGCTGCTTTTGTGTGGCATATTATGCCTAGATTTAGAGGAGATTATCAGTTATGGGGAGCCTATACACACACACTGATGTTAGACTACAATTCATCTCATCTCTGACTGTCAGGCAGTGGGTGGTTATATATACACACACATGTATAGAACTAATATCACTACCCTGAAAATGTTTGGGCTAACAAAAATCTTTTAATACTGTCAGGAAGGCTTTAGACATATTTGAGTAAGGTGTATGGATCCCTACTGTACATATGCAGTTTTTTATCTCTGAATTTATTATTATCATTATTATCATTAATAATGCATTTGTTTCAATGGGCACTTTGAACTTTAAAAATAAACAACCACATTTGGTCAAGAGCACAAAGAACAAAGCTATAGAAGTACCAGACGTCCATGTCTTGGAATTGGAAAAGTGGTGTCAAAAAAAGTAACTTGGATCTTCTGAAAGGCACAACTGACTGCAGCAGCCGAGTCGTTTAGCATTCCCCACACCTTGCTGCATTCCCTTTCTCATTTTCTGCTAAAGGGGTTCATACTGGATTAGATCTAAACCTAAGCATGATAAAGCTTTTCATCTTCTGAACAGACTATTTTAAAAGAAGTTCCATCAGATTCAATATAATTCTGCTAACTGGCATTTCCTTTAGTATCACTCATACCTTCCTCCTTTTGACATAAGTCTTCCACAACCTTGAAAACAGAAAGATTAATTCTTATCACTTGGGGAATTAGATTAACCATTTGGGTACGTTGGGCCCTGGGTCACGTGATGGGAGGGATGACTGGCTGCCTTGCATTTATTTATCTCCAAATTTGTAAGCCACTCTACATTAAAAAGAAATACCCAGGCAGTGTATAAAAATAGTACAGAGTAGTGTAGAAAAAGCACAGTGTGGCATTATCCAGATTTTTTTTTTAAAAAAGGCAAGGCACGTCATCAGCCCCATTGTATGACCCAAGGGCATTTGTAGCCCCACTTTCCAATGTGAGCAGAAGCAGTCACACTTACCAGGAGCTATTAACTCTTTAAGGAAATCAGGGGGGAGCTTTAAAGTGCAGCAGCAGCTGCTCTGAGCAGCTGTTAACTAAAGAAAGAAGAAGAAGGTTAGAAGTCAGTCCTTGGGCGACCTTGTAAAGTAAGTCATTTTATTGAGGGAGTGGCTGTGTATGAATTTCATGCAGATGAGCATTGAACAGCTAAAATATTTTGTTGCCTGTGCTATCCCATACCAGTAACAGAATCTCAAATAATGCAGATAATTGTAATCTGAAGAATTTCCGTATTTTATATATATATATAGGTGGAGTTTGAAGATGGTTCTCAGATAGCAACGAAAAGGGAAGAAATCTACACTCTGGATGAAGAACTGCCCAAAAGAGTGCGGGCTCGATTTGTAAGTACCGGCAAACACATTGAAATTGGGGCAAAATGCCACAAGTTGATGACTGAATTTCTGTATCATCCTCACCGCTTTTATAAAGATTCAGTGCTTATGCGTTTCTTTTACAATTGCCCAATGGCGTCGTGTCAGATCAAGCCTTATCCAGCCTGCAAACGGCATTTCTCTAGATCCCTGGATGCTATTATGTGCGTTGTAGATAAAAATTGCCCTTTTCCCTTATGGGGTATCCAAGAGCCCATATGGAGTCCCTTACATAGGTTCCCTATTGGTAGGAGAGAATAACAGAGGCCAACCAGAGAATATTGAGAAGCAAAGCGGCTAGTAAGGTTGATCTTTATTGATCTGTTGCAACAGGGTTCTCCCCTCACCCGCAGGAGAGGAGGAGGGATGCAGAAAAATGGCGTGCAAGGCCTTATAAAGACTTTTGAAATTGCCACCCTGTAGATCAAGACCACCCCCAGAAACATCATACATACATCACAGAAGGGGTGTAACTTAAGACCACCCTTCAGATACATCATACCTACATCACAAAAAAGGCGGTCTTAAAACAGAAATTTGAATGTTGTTTTTCTCCTGTCATTGTTTATCTCCTGTCTGGCAGGTTACTTGATTGGATTGCCTGGGGAGCCTGGCCAGTCTTTTGTAATGATAAATACTTAGTTCCTGGGCCATGTCACAGGCTCACACCCTATTCAAACACAGACATACCCTTAAGACAGGATTTGTGAAGGAAAAGACAATGGGGAGGCTTTTCCACTTTGACCTTGCAGAGAAAACATTTGCTCAGTTTAGGAATCAAAATGGCTTCAGGTCGGTCTTCCTGTGCTGATCTATGTACGTGCGGTTATGAACATTACCATATATCTAAGACCTCAAAATTCCTATCACAATGTGGCAGCTTGTCACAAGCTGGTCATTCCGGTGAAAGCAGGAAGAACTCACCCATCCCAGGAAAACAACCTTGCTGTTGCTTACCTCTTCCACATTATTCACATGTGCTCCCTACTTGCCTGGTCAGAGGCAGTGGTGCTTCTGAATACCAGTTCCTGGAAACTGCAGGAGGGGCGAGTGCCCTTGTGCTCAGATCCTGCTTGAAGGCTTCCAAGAGGCATCTTGGGTGGGCACTGTGAAAACAGAATGCTGGACCAAATCCACTGATCCAATCCATCACACCCTTTCTTCATTCTTATGTTCCACACTGGGAGCCAGTGTGGTGTAGTGGTTAAGAGCAGTAGACTCGTAATCTGGTGAACCGGGTTTGATTCCCCGCTCCTCCACATTCAGCTGCTGGGTGACCTTGGGCTAGTCACACTTCTTTGAAGTCTCTCAGCCTCACTCACCTCACAGAGTGTTTGTTGTGGGAGAGGAAGGGAAAGGAGAATGTTAGCTGCTTTGAGACTCCTTAGGGTAGTGATAAAGTGGGATATCAAATCCAAACTCCTCTTCTTCTTAGAAGTTCCAGGTGTAGCTGTGGAGGGTTTAGTTTCTTTTGACTATGAGAGCACTAGAGATTTACAGTGTCTTTCTAATGTTCACTTTATTTGCAAATATATGAACAGGGTGGAAGCACTCTGTTGTGTATAATTTTTACTAAATTTTCTGTTTTATAATATAGAATATTCATTTAAACAACCTTAAAATGTCAATGACTTCCCTTCTTCTCTTTCCATGGCTCATTTTGCATATCATAAATCCCTGCACATTTTATATAAACTAAACTGTTCAGTATTCCATTATTACATCCATCAAAACTTGTTTACACAGTTGAGTTTATCTTAATGCTGCCAACATTTTCAATCTTCCAATCTTCTTTAAATGTACGTTCTTCTTGTTTTCTTATTCTATATGTTAGGTCTGCAAGCTGTGCATATTCCATTAGTTTAAGTTGTCATTCTTCTGTAGTCACTTGTTTTCCATTTTTGGGGTAACAAAACACGGGCCACAGTAGTGGCATACATAAATAACCTTTTTTTGACACCTGGGAATTTCCATCTAAATTATCCCCAACAAAATTATCCCCCAAGAAAAAGGACCCTGTTGTGTTTTTTAGGAAAAGTACTTTTAAACATTTTTTTCAATTAATTATTAATTATTTCCCAATACTCTTTTACCCCTTTACAGGTCCACCACATATGAAAGAACGTACCCTCAGCCTCATTGCATCTCCAGCACTTATCTGATTCAGTTTTATACATAGCAAGCCTACTCGGAGTTAAATGAGTGAAAGCACTCTGTATCAGGCAGCCGCAAATTTCCTTACCCCTGAGTCAGATTCCCAGACTATAGCTGTTGTAACCTCTCTACGGTTCCACCCCAAAATCACAGCTAAATTCTCATCTCTATCTCTCTCTTTGTCTACATTCAAACTGCAAGCTGCCTTCTTTTCATTGACTTGTCATGTCACTTTAAACTATTGTTAAAACTACGTTTTGGTTTAAATGTGAATATGCAGCATGCTGATACATCATGCTGCACTCCTCCACTGCTGATCCCAGGAAACAAGCCATGGTCTGGCTTAGAGTTACATCTGAGCCCAGGGTCGTGGCTTGCTTCTTTCCAATCAATGAGCTCTAAGACTCTTCCCAAACATATTGTCCACCTGTGGGCACTTTGGAAGATGCCCTGGCAGACCAGAAAGGTCTCTATCATGCATTAACTTGAGATATTTCTAGTCTACAAGTTTCAGAATCATGAAACAGAGTTTGTAGCTCCAACACGTACCTAGCAGCATACATGGGAAAGATGGTTCTTGAATAGTACAATAAATAACTTAATTGGTAAGAACAGCGGATTGATTATTTGTTAAAAAAAGCAAAAATTATGTTGAGGAAAATGACCCATTATTACTTATTGTTTTATAGAGTATTCATAATGGGCTTTATAATTAACTAGATGTTCCATAAATCTGTTTTATTGTTGCATTTAACTTAGAATAGCACTGCAGATATAGTAGATTTCTGCCATTTATTAGAAATCATGATAGTTTTATAGATCATTTTTACTTCTGTCTGTAATAATGTTAACTTTCCAGGGGAGTTAATGATATTGTTATAATGTTCCCTGAAATCTGGGAATACCCTAGTATCCAGAAATCTCTTTGCATCTGGCTTTGGTAATGCCCCATTCATCATGAAAATCTTTTGACGAGAAGTCAGTAAGACTCTCTTCTAGCTCAGCCTAGCAAAGTATGCTACTCTGGAGATCTGTTTCCTGACTGTACTCAGAGCAAGGGACTGAAACCCTGGATCTTGAGTACGCCAGCAAGATGGCCGTTTCCACCATCACTGCTAGCACAAGACTATAAAGTACGTGCAGCGTGATGGCAGCTGCACTTGGAAGTAGATTGGCTAGGATTGTTTAAGAATGGCAACATCAAAGTTACCTCCTCCTAAAATTATACCAGCTCGACTGACCATGATGAAAGAAGCCTATACAGTGGAACCTTGGTTCTCAAACGGCTTAGTTGACGAACAAATCGGCTCCTGAATGCCGAAAACCCGGAAGTAAGTGTTCCAGTTTCGAATGGGGATTGGCCTGCGCCAATCGGAAGCCGCGCCTTGGTTTTTGAACGTTTCAGAAGTTGAACAGACTTTCGGAATGGATTACGTTTGCGAACCAAGGTACGACTGTACATGAGTAAAGGCTTACTTGCAAACAAGACAAGTGAAGAGAGCCAGGCAGATGAAAGGAGAAGGCCAATCACTGTTTGAATAACAATGTCTTCTCTGGGAGAGGTCAATACAATTTGAGCTTTTTCATTTTGGTTTCATACGTTTCTCACCATGGGTGTTTCTCCCTCTGCCCTTGCCGATCTGTCAAATTATGGGTAACCAGCCCATATAATTCAATCTGTTTTCAAACATCCAGCCCCTTGGAAGGTCCATCCCATCCATGGTTTTTAAACACACCAGGAAGCTGATCCACATTAGAAATTTACATGCTTTCTCTTGACTAACTTTGAAGATTAATCTCCACTCAGTGCCTGCATTGATTTATGAATGTATATAACTTGAACTGATGATGGTCTGTGACCATTAAGTAGAAAGACTTTCGTGCTCTTGAAGAGGTTGTTGATATTTATGTTTATTTGAAGAGAATATACCGGAGTAGGAAAACTATTTATGTGGTGTTTCGTTATGTATGAAATATACCCTATAGTGGTGAATGTCTCTTTTTAGTCTACAGCTTCTGATATGAGGTTTGAAGACACATTCTATGGAGCCGATATTATACAAGGAGAAAAGAAGAGGCAGAGGGTATTGAGCTCCAGATTTAAGAACGAGTATGTGGATGACCCCGGATACCGCAGTTTCCTGAAAACCTCGTTCCAGAAGAAGTGCCAGAAGGGATTATAAAAGAAGAAGAAATGGACTTCTGCTCACCTCTCTCTTTTCCTTTGTGTGCGGAGGGGATGCAGTTACTAAATGTGGGGTTTTTAAAAAGGACAGGTGATCATCTTTTTTGTCTGACATGTAGCTTGTGGTTCAAACACATACTGAGAGTTTGATCTAAAAATATCTCGGGCACAGACAGTGTTTCTTGACTGAAGGGCTGCGATTTGTGGGCTAATATGCTAAACAAGGACTGTCTGATTCACATCAAGGATCGATCCATGTCACATTGCCCCTGTCCAAGAACATGCCTAAGAACTCAGAGTACCACCGATTGGAGAACTTTTAGTCTTGCCTTGCACTGACAGTTACAAGAGAAGTTATATACCAATCTAGGTGAGGAACTTTCTTCAGCCTCCAAAGTTCAAGATTTGCAATCTACATTGTCCACAAAAGGAAAAGGGAGTTCAACCATATATATATATATATTCAAAGCTTTTCTAAAAAAAATAATAAAAAAAATATAAACAGCACTGAGATCTACAAATACTGCTGTACTGTCATAATTTTGTACAGCGCTTCCCACACTGTTTATGCCTCCTGTGCTTTCAGTGCTCTCTGGCCAGGACTCAGTTGTTTAAATGTGATGGTGGGGAGGTATTACTAGCGAAGAGAAAGGTGCTTCTAAAGAGGGAGCCACCTTCAGGAAATGAATTGTGGGTGTATATTTAAAGAGAGAGATTTTGGCATCTATTTTTAAAGGGTTTTTTTCCACGATACTCTGTGGGGACGACAGCAATTTGTACAATGAAATGTCTTTTATTGTGTTTGTAAAATTAGAGTTTACATATCTTCGCTTGGCAGGCTAGGTTTGAACTAATGTAATATAGTAATATAATATGGTCTTCCCTTTTTAAATAATAGTCTGCAAATGTAATAGTGTTGGAAATAAAAAAAAATGATGTCCCTTTGTCTACTAATGTTGGGTTGCGGCAATGTAATCTGTAGGGATCACACACACACACACAGCCGCACACACGCCTTGGTCAGTATACATCTTTGTTCAAAATAAGGCCTAGTTTAAACATGACACTTAAAAAAACACCTTACTAGTGAGGATTGCAAGTGGCTGGTGCCTTCTATAAATGGGTTTTTTTATTTATAAGATAAGAAACCAGTTGTACACATCTGTGCGTACAATTAGCACATCAGTGCAGTGCATAACTCTGCCACATAGTCACTAGTGAGCCAGTTTAAACATGATTTGGCTGTGCGGAACTCCACACCAGTAAGACTTTTAATTTTTAGCACACCCAGCATAGCATTTAGATCAGACTTTAGTTCACACATAGTCATTACTAATAACCGAAGCACAACCTTCCTTTCGTTTTTCCTTTGCCTTACAGCGTTAATCTTGTCAGGTTGCACAAGAGACAGCAGAATGTGCTTGTGTGTTTTCGCAGTCTTGTTGCAAGATATGCTTTGGGATTGCAAAAAGCCTAAACGAGCTTTAGCTTTTGCAGAACATTATCTTTTCCATGGGTGTCAGTCCAGCAACAGATCTCCAGCCAGCTGCAACAGGGATAAAACTCTCCGAATTCAGTATTGTATGAATTCCAGATGAGCAGTAATGCTCTGCTGCAAGAAAACCAGCAGAGTCCTCAAGGAATCTTAAATGTTAAGTTACTTTATTTACTTTATTACTGTATAAATATTAAGTTATTCGATTGATTAAATTTATATCCTGCCCTTCATATTTTTCTTTCATGAAACAACCCTGTGAGGTGGGTTAGAATGAACAGTACAGTAGTACCTCGGGTTACATACGCTTCAGGTTACAAACTCCGCTAACCCAGAAATGGTGCTTCAGGATGAGAACAGAAATCGTGATCCGGCGGTGTGGCAGCAGCAATGGCCCCATTAGCTAAAGTGGTGCTTCAGGTTAAGAACAGTTTCAGGTTAAGAACGGACCTCCGGAACGAATTAAGTACTTAACCTGAGGTACCACTGTAGTAGGAATGTTAGCATCACTGCATTGGCCTTCCTTGTGTCTCTAGTGTATGAAAGCAGGAGTTGCTTTTACTTTTACTGTTTTGCTCCTGCCTCGACAAAGCAGTCACATTTCCTTTAACCATCACCCCCTGCCCAGGAATTGGAGCATGATGATGATGATGATAGTGATGATGATGATGATGATTTATTTTACAGCAGTGGCTACAGGCGCCATTTCTTGGTGATGGGGGCTCCATACAGGGCTTCCCCCTGCTCCAGTCCACAATAGATGAGATTCTTCCAAGGCCCAGATAGGTCCAAGGCTCATGAGCAGACCAGGCCTTGGGGTCCACCACTTCCTCACAATGGTTGGGTGTGGCAACCCTTAATTCCCTCATATTCTCTGCTCATCCTTATGGGGTGAGATGGCCACACAACGAGCCCCAATGAGTGCTGTTGAGAATCAGCAGCCAGAAAGGCCTTGGGTAAGACCAAGCATCTCCAGGGACCTACTTGCCAGTGCAGTGAAGTTGCACTTTAGGTAGGATAAGCGGGTCCATCAATCTAGAGGCAAGGAAAGACCAGCTACCTTGTTCTCCCTGCTATTTCCTGGCTACTGCCTGCCCAGCCCAATGCCCCAGAAGAAGCTAGCCCAGGGCTGGCCGTAGCACAGGGCTTTCATTCCCTGCCATCCTCTGAGAAAGACGAATTCCTGGGTTTTGAGGATCATGAATTCATCCTCCACCTCAGGTCCAGGGATCTCCCTTTCCCCACCACAATCCTTCCAATTATCTGAGGATGTTTTAAGGCAAATTAAGGAAGCATTATCAAAGGAAATGGGTATTATCCTTCCAGAGCAGCAGCAGCAGCCTTTGCAGCCAAAATCTGCACCAGCCTCTGCAACTTGAGCTGCTAATCCTCAACAATGTCAGAATTGCAGCTTGTATCGCACATCATCTAGAGAACCTCCAGCTCCATCCTCACCTAATCCCTTTCCCCACCCATCTACATGGGGATGGTTCCATTCACTCTCAAACCTCCCAGTTTTCGGGGTTTCATCCATTTTCTTTGGCAGAATCAGATGATGATAAATGGAGTGAAGGATCAGTAACTGAAGAACCCCCATTGGACCCCTTTGCTATGCCATGCCATGCCCATGCCACTCTGGGATTGACTCCCAAATCAACAGAACAAGCTGCAGGCACCACACAACCTCTTCCTGTGACCTATGCCCAGTCCTCTCCCAAAATTCTACCCACCCCTGCAGTTATCAAGAAAGTGACCAAAGTAGAATGCAGAGCTCTTTCTAATAAATATTAACATGCTGGATACAGAATTAATGGACCACCTTAAGACCTCATCAGTGGACAAACCAGTTTATTCTCTTACATCAAAATATTTGTTACCAAAGGATGGAGATGAACAGTTAAAATATACCACTGATAGGCACCTATATTTTGCTCTCAAGTGTGTCCAAAAAGCAGCAGCCCTCTCTTCCCGTGTAGGATCTCCTTACAAATCCAGAACAGGATCCTGCACACTCTCGCCTACTTAAGATCTCCTGAGCAGCATCATTTACAGCTGGATGCTTCTCAGTTTGTGGCATGGCGTCTCTCACCTCCATCAAGCATTCTCTCCATCTCAATGACTTCATGATGTCTATAGACCTTCAGGAAGTACCAGCCATTGGTCAGTATATCATCAGTTCAGAGCCGCCTGGCAGTTTTGGTTGGCCACATCTCCAAGAGTCTTCACAAAGATAAAGGTTGCTTTGGTGGCCCACATCTGCTTCCACAACTACAGTTACCCACATCTTAATGATCTTCTGATCCATTCACCAACCAGGACCCAGGCGGTCCTCCATTTTCAATACACTGTCCAATAGCATCATTACTCTAGAGAATAGGGGGAATGATAATACTATCGGTCATCTCACTTTACATTATCGCTAGCTTACAAGGCGCCACAGAGACATCCCCACTTCCTTCCACTTTGGAAATCACCAAAATGAAAGTGCAGGCATACACTGTGAAGATTATGAATCAAGAGAGCTGGCTTTTTGGCTGTTATTTTTACAACTGATGTAATTGAATAACTGGCTTCTAACTGAAGGCAATGTACACCCAGGGCAGGTGAACTGATACTAAGCAGATAGGTTCTGTGACGTGTCTGGAAAATGCTTTACCAATCAACATTCTCTGGAAAATAGATGTAAACCACTGGGGAGTCAATTTTCTCTCTCCAAATAGGTGGTTTTTGTTGTTGAAATGGTGAAAAGAAGGGATCGCCTCCTGTAGAAAGGAATTGATGGCTATTATTAAAGTTTTTTTTAAAAAAAAATAAATCTCCGCAGAAAGCAATTGAGAGGAACCACAGAAGGGTAATTATTAGCTAAATGAGCTATTAACTTCTTCATGAATGTTAAGGGAATGGGCCTAGTAGCCCCCAGGAGAAGATTAGAAACCCACAAGCCCATGGGTTTCTTCTGTGATTGATCATATGTCATCTACACGGGCATTCTTATTTATTTTATTTTATTTAAATTGGAAAATGAAGTAGTCTGTCTGGTTTCTAGGCTGATGCTCCACTACAAAGTGGTGGCGGTGGGGGAGAGTAAATGCAGACCTGATTACTGATTGTCACTTATTAACAAGATCCAGACTACTTTTAAATTAGCAATATCTAGGGCTCTCCATTGATTAGACATTTTAGTTGATTGTCTGCCCTTCAATGCATGTATTAAATAATTCTCCGCATTACAAAAAGCAAACAAATTCAGTCTTGTACCTTTTTGATATATTGAAGAGGGTGTGGCTTAATTTAAGCATGTAATGTACAAACACTAGCATTTATTAGGCGGAAAAAATCCCCTACCTTCTATCATTCAAACTCTAACTTTGAGACATTTACTGTTACAAACACTAAAACCAAGATAGTTCCAGGTGCCTGTAATTCACATCCTTACAGATTTAAAATTTGCCCTCAATGATTAAGGCTTCAATCCTATACCCAATTACCTAGGAGTAAGCCCAACTGAACTTCACTTCTAAATAGATATGTATAGGATTTGGCTTCCACTAATGAATCCTGTGATGAATTAGGTTGTAAGCACATAACACTTTCCAGGGAGTAAGCCTCATTGAAAACAATGGGGTGTACTTCTAAGTAGACATGACTAGGGTGCTGCTGATAGTTGATTAATCCACCACCCATTGAAAGTTAGTTTTGATCAAAATTTTGCTCCACCGTGGACTAAAAGGCTTTTTTAACTGTAGATGGCTGCTGTCCCCTTTCTACATGCGCAGACTGGGGTCTTGTCTTCCAAAAACGTAGCATATGTATGTATGTATGTATGTAAAGAAAAGAACCAGGAACTGACTTATTCGTGGTTCTTATGATGGAGTAGGTGACATTGACATTGCTATTTGAGGACTATAATTTGCTCTCATAAAGCCAGAGATGTAGCCAGCGATAAACGAAGATGGTATATTCAGTGTCCCTATTCATCTCTTATATCCTGATCCCTGATGTTTGCAATTGCTGGGGGGAAATAGCCCCTCCTTATTGTACCTGCAGAATGTTGTACTGTTTTCTTAAACAGAAAAGGTGTCAGAGATTCAATAGAAACCACATAGTCTGAAGCTGGGGTGCACTCCCATGTAGCTGTGTAGGCTGTGTATATTCTCTTAGAGCCTTCCTTAGGAATTAGGGGTGTACCTTATTGGCAGCTACTTTGTAACCTCTTGAATGGTCAAGACTAGGAATTGGGGGAGAAATTTGATTTGGATCACATTTAAAGCAGAATCTACCATGTTGGCACTTCCCAAAACAAAATGAGAACCAAAACACAGCTATCCTTCAAAAAATTCACATATCTGAATTTTGTAATGTAGTTCTTCACCCAAACAAGATTTACAAAAAATGGGTATAGTATGCATAAAAATGAATATATTAATAAAAATAGCATAGGAGCAGGGGGGAAATGCTG